GCGAGGATAGGGTTGGTGTTCTGGGGTCCCACCCTTCTTCACGTTTGCGCATTTCTTCCCGTCTTCTCATTGGCATTCGAATCTAACGAAGATTGTAAGTCATCTCCGTTCAGTAAACCGGCCTTTGCAGAACATCTGCTAAGAGTATGTTTTATATGCGAGAGGTATGAAACATGGGCCCTGTCCCCCAGGACTTGGTCTCTAGCTAGGAGCAAGACTTCTGCATGAGATTGTAAGCAGTGTGTCTCAATTCTTGTAGCTAATAATGGGACTGGAATATATTTGTTCCTAAGGTCATTTGTTCACTTAGCAACATTTGTCAGGTGCCAAGTAGGGACAACTGTTTAGTCTTCGCGGGCACAGGGACACATGGGACGGCCTCTGCTCAGCATCAGGCAGTCAGGTGAGTCAGTTTTAGGACAGCTCTGTGGTTCTGGGATTTGGGGGGCATTACCCAGTTAGGTTGGAAGCGACTTGTGTTTGCTCTTTTGGAAAAGCTACGTACATGCTCACACGAAGGGAATGCCGTGGGTAGGACTGGGTCAGGCTCTTTCCAGCATACGTCTGCTCCTGTGAACAGGATTGAGCGCCACTGTAGGCCAGTCCCTGGCCAGAGGCTGATTTGTAAAGCTTAGTAAGAGGTAGTCACCGATCAGAGGATCCCCCGTCACAGATGAGGCAGACATGTTAATAAATATTTACCGTGCATCACACACACACACACACACACACACACACACACACACACAGAGCATAACTTCTAATAAGAGAAGGAGGTGATTGTCAACATCGCTTCGGAGGATATCATGGGTGGAAAGTCAGTTAAAGCTTCACAGTGGGAAGGGGGGAGCACTTACTACTTCCTGCAGGGTTATCCGTGAGAAAGGGCCAGCATGAGCAAAGGTGAAGGCTGTATTGGAGTCTGACTTGGTGGGGAGGTGATGGAGAAGGACAGGAAGTCCTGGAAGCTCCCAGGAGCTCAGTGGTGCTGCTAAGCCACGAATCCCGAGGCAGGAAGCAGCCAGGGATCATGCCAGAGAAAAAGATCAAAGCTATTCCTTTTTCTTTTCCTCATTAATGTCTAAATCCATCCCGTGTTAATCCCCCATCGCTCTACATGAGCACACCCTTTGTTAGTCATCGCGATTTTAGTGTATGTGGCTGAGGAGTCGTTGTAAGTAGGCCGTTCTTTGGAGTTGGGAAGTTGCTTGATACTGACAGTAATTAACCTCGTGCTCGTATAGGCTCTGTCCTCTCTCGACCACCACGGCCTCGATTGGACATTGTGGTTGGTTCTCCAGCATCCGTTTGGTTTCTGTCTTGTTGAGTAGTGGTGACAATGTAGTTGGGGAATTGACCTTAGCTGAAGGTCGGCTGGTTTGAAGGTAATCCTGTCTCTACTGCCAGGGTTTTAGTTCCCTAAGGGCATGAGATTCACTTTGGTGTAATGAGAAGAGGAGTGTGGAGGAAAGAATAGCCACCAAACTCTTTCTACTGCTGGATGAGAACCGGAAGCTCATAGCTCTGTGTGCCCTGAGGGGATCTAGGCTTAGAGAAGGGTGATGTTATGGATAACAGAATGGAGAGATTTAAAAATAAGCATCAGAGCCCTGGCCGGTGTGGCTCAGTTGGTTGGAGTGTAACCCTGTGCACCGAAGGGTCATAGGTTCAATTCTTGGTCAGGACACGTATCCAGGTTGTGGCTTCGATCCCTGGTCCAGGTACGTACAGGAGGAAACCTATTGATGTTTCTCCCTCTCCTTCCTCTCTCTCGAAAATCAATGAAAAATGTATCCTCAGATGAGTTTTTAATGACCCTATTGAACTGGGAAATGAGGTAACTCAGAGTTTACCATTCCTGGCCTTCCTGTTCCAAGAGCTAATACATTTTTTAGTACTTAATTCATTATGGGTTTGTTCATCTGAAATTTGAAACCATCTGCAGCCTAACTGGTATGTGATCTTTGTAACCTTTAGCAGACACCTGTGTGACCTCTTGGGACTGTAGACCTTTGAGCCTCATTTTTCTTATCTGTGAAATGAATGTAATTACGTCTCTCGGTTTTTCATGAAGACCCTTTGAAATCCAGCACAAGCCCGAGGGAGGAGGCGTGAACTAATATATGTGGTGCGCACACTGTGTACTGTGAAAGAGGCCAGTCCTTGGGTTCAGGAAGTTTAGGCGCCAGAGGAGAAGCTTATGGATAATTTCGTAGAAAAGGGTACGAAGTCACCTGCATATGGACCATCGCACACTCGGTTTCAGACCAGTCAACGCTTGTGGAATACTTGGTGCTCCAGGCACGTGGTCAAGCATGGGGCTGAGGCGGGGGACTGAGGAAGGCGTCCCCGAGAGGCGATGTCTAGACTGACGCCTGAAGGGTGAATGGGAGTTGGGTGAAGAATGGGAGACGTCGTTTCAGACAGAGAAGCACGTGCAAAGAGCAGGAGATGGGAGGGACTGGGTGTGTCTGAGGAAGTGTGTGATCCGAGTGAAGTGAAGAAGAATGACCTGGTTGGAGATGGATTCGAAAAGGTACGAAGGGGATAGGTGACGCAGGGCCTTGCTGGCCGTGTTAAGCGTTTTCAAATTTTCTAGGTATAAAAGGAAGCCATTCAAAAGACTGAAGCAGATGATTCCCGTGCTCTGGCCTATACATTTTAAAACTGACATTTCAGAGGTCACACAGCGGGAGCAGGGGGCCAGACAAGTGGGTGGGTTTGAGCAGCACTTTGGGTGTAGAGCTGGGTCTGGTGAGAGATGAAAAGCGCGTGAATCATGGAGAGAGTGATGTCAAGGATGACTCTCCAGCTCCTGTGTGAGTAACTGGAGAAGACTGGAAAGGGTGAATACGTTTCTCATAGGAAAACCAAGGTCCAGTTTGAACATGTAGTTTCAGATGTCCATGATTCATTGCAATTGGGATGTCGAGTGAGTTTCACGTATGTCTTACTTACGTCTGGCTCTCTGGGCTGGAGTTCGAAGTTGAGGGTCACTGGCAGGTTGACGGCATCGAAGGTGATGGGAACAGATGGTACCTGTTCGGGAGGGAGCGGGAAGTGGGGAGAAGACACTTCCGCTCACTCTCCCTGGGGAGTGTTCTCTCACCTCTCATGTGTAAAACACTCAGCAGCCTGGGAAAAAGAAAAGGAAACCCTGACCTGGATGGGAGCCGAGTGAAGGGAGGAGTTTTGAGAATCACAGAAGTTGGTCGAAGGGGGAGAATGATGAGAAAGGGGGAAATTGAAGGTGCTGGTGGAAAGGAATTTATCCGGGAAGTGGAGCCCTGGGGGACAGGGGAGGCAACTCAGAAGGTCCCTGCTTTCAACCCTCTGAGGCCAGGGAGGGGAATAGGATGGGAGCTCAACTGATTCTGAAGGGTTGGGGACACAGGGAGGTGAGATAATGTCCTACTAGAAACCTCAAAACACACGTGAGCCATGTGTGTGAGCATATACACCCCCAGCCCCCACACACCCTGCTGGCTCACGGGGTCATCTGGGGAGAAGGTATGATTCCATGGCGTCCACGTTATTTCTTTGAGAATGCTGGGCACATAGGAGGGCTCGGTGAGAAGTTGTTGAGTGGCTGAATATGCCCAGACAGGGGCGGTGGGTTTTACTTGTGGGCGTGCCCATGCTAGAGGACGTGGAGAGTGAGAGAGGACAAGTCAGAAGCCACGAGGCTGGACTCTCTCGCACCTGCCACTCGGCTCTTTGTCTTCCGTGTAGCAGTTATAACTGTTTTAATTAATGAATTAATCTTTACTGGATTTATTGGAGTGACATTGGTTAATAAAACATGTATAGGTTTCAGGTATACGATTCTACAGCACCTCATCTGTCCCCTGTAGTGTGTGTCTACCACCCCAAGTCAAGTCTCTCCATCACCAGTTATCTCCCTCTACCTTCTTCTGCCCCCTTTGCTCTGGCAGTCGCCATCCTGTCGTCTGTGTCCATGAGTCTGTCTTTCTTTTCTTTTCTTTTCTTTTCTTTTCTTTTCTTTTCTTTTCTTTTCTTTTCTTTTCTTTTCTTTCTTTTCTTTTCTTTTTTTCTTTTCTTTTTTCCGAATCCTTTCACCTTTCCCACCCAGCCTCGAACCCCTTCCTTCTGATAGCAGTCAGTCTATTCTCTGTCTCCATTGAGTCTGTCTCCACTTTGTTTGTTAGTTTATTTTGTTCATTAGATTCCACATGTAAGTGAAATTATATGGTATTTGTCTTTCTCTGACTGGCTTAGCATAATGCTCTCCAGGTCCATCTGTGATGTCGCAAAAGGGAAGCTTTTCTTCTTTTTACGGCTGAATAGTATTCCATTGTGTACCACAGCTTTTATATCCACACATCTACTAGTGGGCACTTGGCTGCTTCCACATCTTGGCTACTGTAAATAACATGGCAGTGAACATAGGGGTGCATAGATTCGGGTTTTTAAATCGCCGGTTCTTTTGTCTTTCACCTGCTTCTTCTGTTGGATTGCGAGTTCCTTGAAGGTAACATCTGTCCTATCCTGCATTCACGTGTCCAGCACCGTGGGATGGCATAGAGTAAGTGCTCAATCAACACTTGTTGGAGAATGCGTGAGGGTGGGCGTGAGCGGATGCTGGGAGAACAGGAGTCAGAAGGGGACAGAACCCACACTTTTTCAGGTAGAGGCAGAAGGATCCGCTAGACTGCAGGGGCTGAAATACTGCACATGTTGTACAACACAAAGTTGCCAGATTTGGCATTCTCGTGTGCAATGTGGTGATCAGTAATTCGCTCAAGATCCAGCAACTTGGAACGGAGGGTGTCCGGATTTACAGTGACGTCCTTCTGACCCCCAAGCTCAGGGTTTCCGCTGTGCCGCGCTCAGCAGACCCCGTCCGTGGTTACCAGACCACCTCCACCCGCTGGAGCCTTGTGTCTTCCCACTTAGGCCAGATGACACATTGTCTGCCCTGGGCAGCGTCTGCATATGATTTGTTTTCTGAGAGTTACCTTTTCTTCTCTCTCGCCTAGCTCTCCACTGCGGTTTGAGTCCACGGGGTATTGATCACCCTGCCCGTGCTGAAGGCATTCAACTGCAAATTGAAGGTGAAGCTGTCGAGTCTCAATCCATTAAAAACAAACATTTCCAGAAGGTGCTTGACCAAAAAGGAACCCCCAAGCGACTGCAGGCCGAAGCTGAGACAGCTAAGGTAGGTCATGATCCCACCCCTTAAGGAGATTCTGAAACAACAGCCTCATGTGTTGTGGTCCAGCCACAGAGAAGAACGGACTGTGCTTTCGCTAATTACCCTTGTCTCTTCACTGTAATGAACACTGCTTCTTGGTTATAGGTAATGATACATGGAAATATTGACTGCCTCCTCTGTGGGGTGAAATCGAAACCCATTTGTGCTCAGTCTCACCGTGTGAGGTCCTGAGTATGGCAGAGAATAGGCTCTGGTGAAGAATGCCTTTGACTAAAGCTGAAAGATTTGTTTACCAGGTTCAGACTGATCATTTGATGATGTTGGGCAAGTCATGTGACTTTCCGAGCCTCAGATTCTTCCTCTATAGAGTGTGTATCATAAAAGCTGCCTCCCTCATTAGGCTGAACAGATGAAATACTGTGGTGTGTCTGGAAGTAGTTTGTGAAAGGCTCAGTTGACTGCATGAGTATTGAGGGGCTTTTGCTGACACTGTTAATAATAACAACAACTGACATTTAATGAAATATAGCCACAGATTCCAGGTACCGTTTGAAGGGCTCTTGATGTACTGGCTTATCCTGTCTCTGTAACAATTCTGTGAGGTAGAGGACAGTAAGCAGGACCCCAATTAATAAGAGATACAATTGTTCTAGTTTATTGGATACTTTATTCTTTTTAGTCTTTAGCCTGGATGTAAGTACAAAACACACATTGGTGAACTGGGAGTTGGAGGGTAAGTGACTCTCCAGTGAAGCTTTTGGAGAAGCTTTTCCACAGGGAAACTGGCACTGTATGGAGTTTTGTCTGAAATAAGTGGAGACGCTCCCGCTGGGGGCGCAGAGTTGAAGGTATTTAGATGAGTTTGACCCTTAGCAGTGGAGAGAGCTGTTGATCTTAGGGTACTTGGTTTCTCCGGTGTGCATCCCCTGCAAGGGGATTTCCTTCGGGATGTTTGCGTGAATGTCTGCAGGCCTTGGAAAGCAAGCAAGGCAGCTGCCCAGGAGAAACCTTCAGTACAGGCATACCTGGAAGATATTTGGGGTTACGTTCCTGACCGTTGCAATAAGGCTAGTCTTCATCTTTGTACTGGTAGAGGATCTTGCCTTCAATTTGTAAAACAAAACAAAAAATAAACACCTGTGTGAAATTCAATAAAATGAGGCATGCCCATAGAGACTTTGCTATCATACAATAACCACCTGCTTCCCCCAAGAAACTATTCCCAAATCAAATGTAAATTTTTTGTTTTATCTGCAGTTTTGAGTAATTAACCATTGTTGCTTCTCTATTTTAGTGTGGATCATTAAAAACTGATGAGATTGTGTGTGTGCATGTGCAGTGGGGAATGATTAACAAGGAAACTATTGCAGATATCCTACACTGGACTTTCTAGCTAAGAGAAATTGCACCTCGTAGGAAATTGGTTTATAATCAATGACGTTTGGTTTATGAGCTGAGTTGGAAATAAATGAGCCCTACGTTGACATGTAAGCCTCACTAATCTCTGATTCCATGCGGGCATCTTGAAAGAGGGAAGGAAAACATGTCGTAATGATCTTCTTTAGGAAGATACGGTTTGAGTAGACTCTTTTTCAAAGGATGCTGAAAATAGTAAAAATTAGAGTGGAGAAAAATAAAATGATTGCTATTTGTCAGGTTTTAATTTATATAGAATTAAACATTTTCAAATTATCTCTTTTATTGGCAAAACCGGTTGGCATCATAAGAAATGTGATTCAATCCTGCTATGGTTTGAATATTTCTGAGTTACTGGGAATACCGGATAGCATGGTGGGTAGCACTGGCCTGTGCCTCCAGGTCACTTTGTATTTGCTTCTCTGGACACCCACTTCACTGAGAACACAGGTCCAGAATGAACATTTCCTCAGGAACAGACCACATCCTGAAAACGAGGTTCATTTGCGTTCACCCACATTCTCTACAGTGAAACCCCCAAACAGATGAGGTTGAAAGGGGATTCTGAGTGTTTCCACATTGACGTCATGTTTAAGCGTGAACAGAATAGAAGCTTAAAAGCTTTCCGGGGAGGGGCCGGTCCCTGGTTAATAGATGGCTGTCATCTCCCTGTGTTCTCACATGGTAGGAAGGGACATGGCGCTCTCTGGGGTCTCTTGTAAAGGCACAAACCCCATTCATGGGGACTCCACCCGCATTGCCTAAGCACCTTCCAAAGGCCCCACCTCCTAATATCAACACATTGGCAGTGAGGTTTCAACATGAATTTTAGGGGGAACAGACATTCAGTCTAGAGCAGTATTTCAGGAGGCCTGGAAGGTAGCAGTGGTGACTGGGGAACAGAATGGAAAGCAAGGCTGTCGGTGCCTTCCTGCAGACCTGGGCTATCACAGACGTTTCTGAGCAGCACACGGGGTGAGCTAGTTTTATGCATGGGCAAGCCCATGGACATGTTCTCTTCTGTTGCATTCAGAGCGTTATTGGGGTTGTGAGTCATCTTCTTTTTTCCTGGGTAAATAATTGAATCTCTGTAACTTGACCTACTCTGAACTTACCTAAAAAACAAAGCCTCTATCAAGCGATGTGAGCATTTAAAGGCACTCAGTGATATAAGTTGCTACAGCTTTTCTGAAAGACAGTCTGATAGCAGTTATCAGTGGTTTCAATGTGTGTCATTTTTGAGCCACTAGTTTTCTCTCCAGGAACTTGTCTTAAGGAAATAATCATCCAGATGTGCAAAGACAGCTGCAGGCAGAGGGTCACGCTAGTGCTGTTGATCACAGGGAACCTCGGAAACAGCCTGCGTGGCCATTCCGAGGACATGGCTCAAGGGACAGTGTGTATTCATGCATTGGAAAAGCATTTTTCCTTTTAAGGGTGAGGGAGACCTGGGAGTATTTATCTTAGTCCATTTGCACTTCTGTAACAAGTACTTTGACTGGGTAGTGTATAAACAATAACAATTTATTTCTCGCAGTTCCGGAGGCTGGCAAGTTCAAGATCAAGATGCCGCCTGACTTGGTGTCTGATGAGGGCCCGCTCCCTGGTTAATAGATGGCTCTCATCTCCCTGTGTCCTCACATGGTAGGAAGGGACATGGAGCTCTCTGGGGTCTCTTGTACCGGCACAAACCCCATTCATGGGGGCTCCACACTCATTGCCTAAGCATCTTCCAAAGGCCCCACCTAATACCAACACATTGGCAGTGAGGTTTCAACATGAATTTTAGGGGAAACACAGACATTCGTCACTGCAGTATTTATGTGGGAAAACGAGTGGACACTATGTGAAAGTGGGGAGGGGAAGCGAAGGGCAGGTCACTGTACAGCGCGTGTGGCGTGTTCCTGTGGAGGTAGAAATGTCTCACAGCCTCAGGTGTCACCGTCTGGACGAGTTCACTCCACAATTTGAGCAGCAATGTATATCTGGAGTTGAGACTATGGAGAGAAACTTTTCTTTTTCCACTTCTGTTTTGTTGGCTTTTTTTTTTTTTTTTAACATGCATTCTTTCAAGAAGGGTATTTATTTTAAGCCATGTACAGATTGCCCTATTAACTTGAGTAGCTCAGCTGTGACTTTTCCGGCCTGGTGAGTCATGCTCTGCCTTTTCGGGTGCTAGAGATCCTTCCATAGCTTCTGGGTCTTGCTGGGGAGTTATATGCCAAGGAAGAAAGCGATCTTGGGCGCTGTGTGCGGTGGGGGAAGCCGTTTGCTGTGGGGTTTTGGTGCAGGTGCTGCTGAAGCTAGCACCGATGAGGTGTTTGTGCTAGTCTCTTCCTGAGTCTTTGGGATGGCACACCTTTGACCAGGTGTTGATTGTTTCAATCTCAATCAATCTCTCTCTCTCTCTCTCTCTCTCTCTCTCTCTCCCCCTCTCTCCTACTGACTGTGCAAATCAGGCCCCGTCATTTGCACTTTCCCGCCGGCAGGTTTCACACAGGGAACCTGGTTCCAGCTCCCTGCCGTGCCTGTGGGCTCTGACACCGTGTCTGGCCGTGTTGGGCTTTGAAACCAATCAGTCCCTCGGCATGTCAGCTGCCCCCGATCTCCAACCGGCACAGGGGGCTTCCCACCTCCTCACTGCCGTGACTTCCTGAAACCTAGACGTCTCTCTTCCGTGATTTGAAGCTTGGCATTATGTACATTTAAAATTATTGTTTTCTAGTATCCTTGAGTGTCTGGAGCCTTGGGGTGGGTTTGTAGTATGAGCTGAATCTAACATCTTGATTCTGAAATTTGTATTGCTTTCATATTTAAAAATACTTGTTCTCTCTATATATATTTATTGATATTTATTGATATATTCTTATATTTTTATATTTATATATAGTATATATTTATATTTATTATCTATACTTATATGTATTTATATATATACAGGGTGGGGCAAAAGTAGGTTTACAGTTCATATGGAAAATAATACAAGAATAAATAATACAAGAATAAACTGTGTTTCATGTACTCAACAGCTGTAGATCCATTCGGGAAAAATACCATCCTTTTTGCTTTTCTCTTAGAATGTGATGTTTGGCCCCAATTCCTCAGAAGACTAGAACTCTGGTTCTAGAAGGAGGTTGTCTGCGCCCCAAGCTGCCTCCGGGGCTCACAGACCAAAGGCAAAGCAATGGAGACCCATGCTCACTTCTGAGCCCTATTACTGGGCGGCATTCAGTCTAGTTGGGAAAAAAATGGATTCACTCGAGGTGTTGATATGCAAAAGGTGTTTTACCTGTGCTCGTCCTGCGAACACTCGGGAAGCCAGAGAGCGTGTGCACGTCCCACAGGTTCAAGGTGCAAAACTGCGCTCACGTTGCTTTACAGGCGGGCACAAAGCGAGAGAGGTCGGAGGGGTAGCATTTCATCTCACTGGGAGACACAGAAGTTACGAATTGACACAGCTTCTTTCCCCTGACTCGCACGGGCACGTGCACCTGCCCAGATGAGAGCCAAGGTGGGAGAGCGTGTCCTGGACCCAGAGCAAGCACGGCCTCGCTTCCCACCCATCTCCCTTTCCCATCCTGGTCAGA